TTCAACCTAAACATCTCTCGTCTCAACGTCACCTTCGCCTGCAAACTTCATTGCTGTTGCCTGACAATGTTACTCTTCAACGCTGTCTCTCTCTAAATCCGGCCACTCTTCTGCCACTTCCCAAGGGGGGAGTTGTACAGTACTGGTACAGCTTGGACATCAATCCAAAGATCCGAGCAGAATTACAGCTGCCTGCCCTTGCACCCCCACATGATGTGCAACCAGAGAACTTGCTGCACTGCACCCTGTGGTTTAAGGATAGTCCAGGCCCTGATGTGAATTATGAGGAAGAACTGTTTCAACTTGAGGAAATTCAAATCACACTGACTGACTTATTATGGGACTCCACAGGTAACATGATCTTATTAGTACATCTCCCAGAGAATGTGACACATCTCTACCATCATTGGGAAACAGCTGTCCCACACATATCTCTCACTAAATCCCCTGATATTTCATGGAAAGATTTAGGCCCAATGGCCAAGTCCTGGAATAAAACAGCCCAGGAACAATTGACCTCTATGGGAGTAACCAAAAAGGCTATCAACTACTGTACAGCTGGATACCCTAGGTACCACACAGAAGTCTGTGAAGACTTACTTGCCATAGAATGTGACCCTGACATTCCTCATGATTGTTTTGAACAAATGAAAATGGAAACTACCCACTTGCCAACTGTGTACGAAGCTGCGTTACTCAACCCAGACCAAACACTGTTTGTGGACGGCTCCAGATTTGCTGATGAACAGGGGCAGTATCACACTGGGTATGCAGTTACCACAGGATGTCAAGTATTACAAGCAGCCGCCCTTCAACCAACCAAGTCAGCTCAAGAAGCCGAGCTAACAGCCCTTACCGTGGCCTGCAAGTTGTCTGAAGGCCTACGTGTCAATATCTATACAGACTCAAGATATGCCCTGGGAGTGGCACATGACTTTGGCCTAATTTGGAAGACTAGAGGATTTCTTACAGCCACTGGTACTCCAGTGAAACATGGGGCAGCCATTGAAGAACTGATGGATGCTTTGGTGCTTCCTGCAGAGGTGGCAGTGTTGAAAGTGAAAGCCCATGGAAGGCTAGATTCAGAGGAAGCACGGGGCAACCACTTAGCTGATCAGGCCGCCAAGGAAGCAGCACGAAAAGGGTGGGAAGTGGACAGAAGAGTGGCCACTGACACAGTACCCATCTACACTATGCAGACATTACCTACGGATCTCAGGCTTCTAAAGGAGCAACAAGCAGCTGCCACTCCCCAGGAGAAACAAAGTTGGAAGAACAAAGGAGCTGTTCTCCGTGATGATGTTTACACCATCAATCTTAAGTTTTGCCTACCCAGAAATATGTACCCAGCTGTTGTCCAATGGGCCCATGGGCCAGCCCATCTGTCAAAACATTTGATGAACTCACTGATTGATAAATACTTCGAAGCACCAGGCATTACTACTCTGACACAGAATTATTGTAGATCTTGCACAATATGCGCTAAATGTAACCCTGGGAAGATTGTTAAAACCGCACCTAATCACCTGGCCAAGCCCCAATACCCTTTTCAGAGGATACAGATTGACCACATCCAAATGCCAAAGAGTGGACGTTATGAATACACACTAGTCATTATGGATATGTTCTCAGGATGGCCAGAGGCCTTCCCAGTGGCTAATCTCACTGCGAGGACTACGGCCAAGCACCTTCTGACGGAAATTGTCTGCCGTTACGGAGTTCCAGAAGTGATTGAAAGCGACCAAGGAACCTCCTTCACCGCCTCGTTGACACGGGAAGTCTGGTCAGCACTGGGGGTGACCCTTGCATTCCACACGCCATATCACCCACAAAGTAGTGGTAAGGTAGAATGCATGAATGGCACTTTAAAAGCCAGAATGCTTAAGATGTCACAAGAAACTAACATGCCCTGGCCCGAGAGTCTCCCATTAGCGTTGTTTAGCGTGAGATATACTCCTAGGGGAAAATATAGCCTATCACCTTATGAGATTTTGTTTGGTACAGCACCCAGACTAGGTTGTTACTTTCCTCAACAACTTCAGATCCAGTCAGACACTATGGTAGATTATGTGACTGCCCTCTCACATGCCTTGACCAAAATCCATGCCCAAGTGTTTTCTTCTATTCCAGATCCTGAGTCGAATACAGGTACACACAAGCTGCTTCCTGGTGATTGGGTTATGGTCAAGAAATTTCTCAGGAAAGCCAAGATTTGATGGTCCTTACCAAGTGCTCCTAATCACAGCTACGTCAGTTAAGCTAGCCGGGAAGAGTTCTTGGATACACGCTTCACATTGCAAGAAAGTGCCTGCTCCAGAAGAAGCTACCCCTGTTGAACCATGAATTTGTTGTGTATTCTGTGTTTCCTTATGCGGCTAAAATTTGCATGGGCCCAACAGGTGGCCATAACCAAAGATAACCATGTTTACACTTTCTGGTACAATTCTTCTAACACAGATGTAGCTACCTACACCTTTGGCTACTGTGACATTGTTGCTTGCACCTTCCCACAAACACAATATGCCGCCATATACAAGGATATACCTAACAAAAAAGATCCATACATCAACTCCCATCAAACTTACCTTAAACATAGAGCACCCCAGCCCAAAAGATGCAGGGGAATATGTAATGGGACTGTACTGGAGGGGAGGCGGCTCATATAATAAACTGGGGACATTTTATCTGCAAGACATGCTTACCTCACCAGATTGGGTAGGAGCCACTCACATGACTATTAACCCATTGAAACCACATATCAAGACTCTACATGACATGGTAGCTATAGCCAACCCCACCTTTGAAGACACCATGGCAGTAGAAACTGGGTTCTCAGATACAAATTTGTGGCTAGAATGGATGAGGTATAATGCTAACTCACACAATAAGACCAATTGTTATGTATGCGGAGGGGCCAGACCCCATCTGGGTACAGTGCCTTTAAGTTTACCTCCTGAAGTAGAATTATTTGTTTTACGCCTTTATGCACAATCCACTACAAATTCCTCAACATGTGAATCATGGAAAAAGGTTTACCCAATCACCCAAGGACACGTCAGACCACCATATGGGGTCACAGTATATCCAGGTAATTACACTTGTTATTCAATACCTAAGAACACTGGTGTATATTTGGGCAAATTCCCATCTGGATATTGTTCAACCTACCACAACCCGCCTATATCACTGTTAATGATTCATGCAAAGACAGTTGGGGACATATATTGGTTATGTGGCGATAGACAGTTGAGGTCCCAGCTAGTAGGACAGTGGTGGGGGGAATGTACCTTGACCAAGGCTATAATGCCCATCCACATCATTCCGGACGGTAGTCATAACACATTAGACCACACACACGTACATCCCAGAGCCAGACAGGAAGCCCCCATCCGAGGGAGCTTTGACCCTCATGTATATATTGATGCCATTGGTGTGCTAAGGGGGGTGCCTAGTGAATTCAACGCAAGGGATGAGGTGGCAGCAGGATTTGAATCCTTGATTCCAATGATAACTGCCAACAAGAATGTCAATTGGATCAATTACATTTATTATAATCAACAGCGATTTGTTAATTACACTAGGGATGCCCTACAGAGCCTGGCAGAACAATTACAAGCCACCACCCAAATGACAAGAAGGGGGGCGTATGTAAAATCCTCCCCGAAACTATGATATGTTGCACATTTATTCCAGACAACACTGGGCCCAATGGTAAAGTAACTATGGCCATAGAGAAGCTAGATAGTCTCTCTGATGAATTGAAAAAGAACTCAGGGGTCACTGATACTTGGGACAGATGGTTTGGATGGATGAATGGTTGGCAGAGAACCCTATTCCAGGTAGGAACCTGTTGTGTGCTTCCTTGTGTACAAAAGTACTTGTAGAAGACAGTAGGGAAGACTATAGATGACGTGACCCCTGCTTTCCTACATCAAGATACCACAGACCTAGAAAGTGACACACCACATACACCCCTCCAATCTCATCAGTTCAAACAGACAACTGCATTCCTGTAGGGACAGCGTAGGGAAAGCGTCTGTCTTTACGGGCAAGTCTCACGTGTGGAGATGTGGTGGACAAGCCGCCGCGGGTTACCCACGGAGTGAAGTGTTCGATGCTTGTTAAGACAGATGAGCTGCAGGCAGCTAGGGATACGCTAGGGACAGTGGCAGTTGTTATGGTAAATAGCCATTTTAAGGGGGGACTGTTGTGGAAATAAGGTCTTGATATATTTCCTAGTTAGTAAAATGTCTATTTACTCATCTCACAAAAACAGTATATAAGCTATACACGCATATTTAGTCAAAATGGCTGCTAGAAGCTTCTAACCCCTCCTCCCCAATAACACCGACTAACTACCTCGTGCAGCAAGATTGCGCTGGGAAACCGTGGGAGACCCTCATGGTCCCAGTGACATCACCCTTAGTAGGCAGAGCATTAGGAAGACCACTTAACAACTAACCAATTATTGATGTATTATTCCATGTTATCTCTGACAGTAATTATGATGTAATTTTGCTTTAAAAGGGACTTACCGTCCCCTCTGAATAAACTTTCCTCAAGTTATTCAACAACCTGGAACCTGTGTCTGGTGTGAATTACTTCAGGGAGCGTGCACGCATTGTTTCATTAATTTGGCCAGGGGCAGATACACAAAGAAATGATCAATTTATTGGTTGATTTTTCCATTTCACCGGGATATTATATAGACTCCGTGGGAGCCCGGGAGACACACGGAATGCCCGGGAGAGTTGGGATGTCTGTATTGTCACTGTCACCATTTGTAGTAACATAGCGGCCATAAGCTGCCACTGTTAACAACATTTGGACGTTAGTAGCGGCTCTTGTTTACTGACTGACTTTTCTTGTCACGTTCTTTTACTGGCTGACAATCAATAACTGACCACTCGCAGATTAGCCACACCCTGTTAAAAACACAAACAAACCAAGTTGTAACCAGAGCAGCCACAACATACTGAGCATGTGTACTTGATCCTGTCAATAGCCTGAGCTATACAGTAGCTATGTACTTTATATCCTATGTATGGCAACCTGTAGTAGTTAAGTTATTTTGAGTGTCCCTCTAATTAACACTATTAATTGACAGAACTGACAGCAGCCTGGAGAGTTCTTTACTGAAACCCTGCACATACAGACTCCAAGCACCATCACCACTTTAAAGCATTGAAATGGTGATAGTGCTCGGAGTAACTCTATAATATACCCTTGGCATCTATCAATATCCAATCTGAATGTCTCGCATACAGGTTCACATTCCCTTACTGTGTATTTTATTAGATTGCTACCCTTTAAAGGACCACTATAGTGCCAGGAAAACATACTCGTTTTCCTGGCACTATAGTGCCCTGAGGGTGCCCCCACCCTCAGGGTCCCCCTCCCGCCCAGCTCTGGAAGGGGGAAAGGGGTAAAAACTTACCTTTTTCCAGCGCTGGGTGGGGAGCTCTCCACCTTCTCTCCTCCTCCGTTCCTCCTCCTGGGCTGAATGCGCACGCGCGGCAAGAGCTGCGCGCGCATTCAGCCGGTCACATAGGAAAGCATTCATAATGCTTTCTATGACGCTGGAGATGCTCTCACCGTGAAAATCACAGTGAGAAGACGCGACGCGCTTCTAGTGGCTGTCAATGAGACAGCCACTAGAGGTTTAAAGGCTTAACCCATTCATAAACATAGCAGTTTCTCTGAAACTGCTATGTTTATTAAAAAATGGGTTAACCCTAGCTGGACCTGGCACCCAGACCACTTCATTAAGCTGATGTGGTCTGGGTTCCTAGAGTGGTCCTTTAAACAGAAACTGTCACCTTGAAGAATTTTCAATATTATGTTTTCCTATATCTACATTTAACAGATATATATTTGGAAGTTGTGAAATATAAAAGTAAATACTAAATCCACACCTTAATGTTTTGCAACTGGGAATCTCTGTCTTAGATCTATGTCAGTCTTTATTACAGACTCTGTACTTTGCACCTGGTGGTCATCTTAGAAAAAGCATACAGAGAAAAGTATTGCGACAATGTTTATCTCTCTTTTTCAGGCTGACGTAGATATATTCTGTGATATAACTGAACATCAATAGCCAACAATAGCTTTGGCACTGGATATACTAATCTGTACCTGATCTGTGCCCCTTATTAGAATCTAGAGGACCTAAATGTGTTCTAGACTTTAGTGGTAGCAAAAAAATAATAAGAAAACATTGGCACATACTCAAACATGATGAGATACTTAATTCCATTATACCTACTCATCCAAACATTGTTTTTAGAGGAGCACCGAATTTTAAATCTATTTTAACTAGAAATTTTACAAAAAAATCTCCTTTAAAAAATGTATCATTCTTTCCTCAGACAAAAGTTTTTTTTAGATGCAATCAATGCATCGTATGTAAAACTGTGGATCGTGTTATTCCATCAAAAACTACAAAATTTATGTCAAATCAAACCAAAAAAGTGTATGATATTTATGATTTTATAAGCTGCCATACCAAAAATGTTATTTATCTGCTCGAGTGCCCATGTGGCCTCCAAGATGTGGGGATGACCACAAGGTGCCTAAAGATAAGACTGAGCGAACATTGCAGAAATATTAGAAATGGATACCTAAATCATACAGTATCCAAACATTTTATCAAGCACAATAAAGATCCTCGTTTATTAAAATGTATTGGTATAAAAAAATGTTCTACCTCATGGCGTGGAGGAGATATAAAAAAGGAACTTGGAAAAATTGAAATGGAGTGGGTGTATAACCTTAAGACCCTTATACCCCATGGTCTAAATGCAGATTTCGATTTACATAATATTTTATGAAATATCTTTTATGAATATTTGTGTATATGCCTTTAATTTGTTTTAATTCTGCTGTTTTATCTAATATTGTCAACATTGTTACTTTTATATCTTTTTTATTGTTATTAATTTTTAATAACTGTCTCTTTTTTTTTTTTAAATTGGTTTATTCATTTTAATACACTTTTCCTATTAACAAGTGTATCCTCTATTTTGCCATTCTCAATATGGCTGTTTTCATACCTTCCCAATATGCCCGTACCCTTAATAGCTTATATTCCTATTCCCCTCCTTATTTGGTCTCTTGGCCGCCATTTGCGGCCATATACTACATATCCCATGTTGCCGTTCGGCACTTCCGGTACGCGGAAGTGCCGAAAATTAAACTGACCTTTTTTTTACAATTCTCCCCCCCTTGTTTCCTCTTCCAACCCCCTACAGCTCATACTCTCATTCCCCTCCTTATTTGGTCCCTCGGCCGCCATTTGCGGCCATAAACTACATACCCCATGTTGCCGTTCGGCACTTCCGGTACGCGGAAGTGCCGAAAATCACGTGACCGTTTTATATCTCTAATTTTTATACTTTCCCCCCCCTCGTTTTTATTCTTAATAGATTTTAAATAAGTCAGGACACTTTAGTATGTTGTATAGTATATTCATTTTAAAGTTTTGAGCCTGCTTATTATTTGTGTGTTTTGATTGGTTGCTCTAATTTTTGGCGCCAAAATTCAAATTATTTGTGTCTTATATAACCCTTATGTGCCAGGTAGTAAATGTTATTCCATTTGATAAAGTCTTTCTTGACGAAACGCGTTATGGATATTTGAATATTGTGTTTTTTATATATTAAAGTATTTTTGGTCATTTGCTTGTGCCAATTATCTTTTTTATAGACACATATCTTTCTTTTTTACCCTGGCCTTTTTACTGTTAATTTTATTATTTTACTGGTTTTAAAACAAACCTAAAAATTTCTGGAAGTTTCCTGTACCCAAAGAAATCCGTAGGTGGGGATCAATCCACCCAAGCTATCATCAAAGAGCAGTGGGTCTGCTCTTATTTTCTAAGTACATTTCTTTTATTATTTTATTATTATTTGCCATACAGTGAGCACTATTGGCTGTTTGTTTTATCCCGAGAATAGGATACCATTCACGGAGAAGAACCTGCTTACATCCCACAAGCGGGGATTAAACCGCTGTACGCGCTTTACTCCAGAGCTGGACATTAGCTCTGGTAAATGTGAGTTTTATACTATTATTTTTACGTCTATACCTGAATTTTACATACTACACCATTGGATGTCCCTTCTCCCTCTTTTTATTTTTCATAACAAGTGAAGCCACCACATAAATAGAAGACCCCATCAACCAAAGACACCTGTAAGAATATACCAGTTGGACTTTCTCTCTTTTCTTCCTTTTATTGGACTTTATTCATGTGCGCAGCCTTTTATTGTTTTTAATTTAGTGGTAGCATGACTGCTGACCCATGTACTCATCAACCACTGCCCCAATCAAAACACTGGACACATACGGCCACAGCTTTATTAATGCCATATTAACAATTTATTTAACCCTATTAGCTGTTGAGTGATTACACAAGAGACAGTTCTCTTCCAACCTTTCCATGAGTCCAAAATAGCAGGCACTGGCTATCATCTTCATGCAGACTGTAGTCTCTCCGAATCAACTCAGCGACTCACTCCTTACTGCGCCATCGCTGGCCAGAAATCCCGCAAGCTGTGACAACAGGAAAAGAAAGAAGCAGCAATGCAAGGCCTTAAAATACCTGCAAATTGTATGCATGCAAATTTGCAGACAGCATAGATAACTCACAACCTGAGATGAGGTGAAGTAGGACATGGACTGCTATACTGTATGTATGGACTGCTACATAAGTATGAATATTTTTTTTGAAAAATGCAATGTATAAACATTGTACATCGCTTTGACAGCATTTTACAAAGTACAAAAGCATGGCTATATCGCATTACATGCAGCAGTTACAATGGTTGCAAAGAGAAACAGTGTATCATTCTAGCCATATATAAGTTGAAGGAACAGAAAAAAATATATTTAAAAACAGGAAAAACATGGGAATGTGAGAGGGATCGGGGAGGGGGATATACAATCAAAACAAAATCCATGGATCTGTTTTACTGCTGTAGCTTTATAAAACAAACTGCGGGAAACTAACTATAGTGGACATGTTATTTCCTTTACGCAATCCAGAAAAGAAGCCTGCCTTAGTGCTTCATTCTAAAAATCAGCAAGCAGTGTGTGGTTTATTTGACTTCGAAGCTTTGCTGATGTGATGTGCATCGCGCTTCTTTGCAACAATGTATGTGGAAGCTGCAAAAAGCAGCAAGACATAGAGATGTAAACATATGACTCATAGATAGATTATGAGACTTGTTCATGGCAAGGATTCTGCAGGCCACTCCTGTGCTCTAGGGCGATGTTGGCTATGCATCCTCTCCCTCTGTGCAGTTTCCATCCTGTTTCAGTGAAGTGCCTGCGTTGCATAAACTTTTACCTCTCCTGTGAATCCCAGGCCCAGCTTTCTTCAGTGATACTGGTGCCCCCTCCTGTTTCTTCATAGATGCTAGTTCAACTGATTTACTCACTAGCTGATACATTCAAGTCAAGGGATACAGATCAGCAGAATTTTTTTTTTTTAATGGTTAACCCCTTACAATTGTACAAGTTCTGATCAAAACAAAATGTAAACAAAACCTTTAATTTGTGCTATATGTCTCTTCAACCGTAATTCATCTTTCATATTAAATGCACCCACACTTATTATATATCAATTTGTTCAGGAGAAACAGGGCTTTCATATCACATTAAATATTTATACAAAAAAAACACAATTTTATAAGTGTAGTTTTTTAGTTTTGTGCAGCATTTTAACTGTGAATGTCATAATACTGTTAGCTTTTACTGCAATAAAATACACATATTTGTGTTCAGCGATATCTCTCGAGTAAAACAGTACCCCCATACACAGGTTTAATGGTGCTTTGGAAAGTTACAGGGTTAAATATAAGGCTTTCCCCTGTACCATTTTTACACATTGAAATGTGACAGACTGGTTATGATGCCTTTGAGACCGTATGGCCGCCCAGGAATGAAAATTACCACCATCATGGTATACCATTTGAAAAAGTAGACAACCCAGGATAATCAAAATGGTGTGCCTTTCTTTTTTAGTAGCCACTTTGTCACAAACCTTTTATTAGCGTTCATATTTGTTTTCTGCATTTTGTACACAGAAACTGCAATTTTACTGATATCATCATCGTGATATATTTTAATGTTTTAAAACATTCATATTTCTGTTCAGCGAAGTCTGTGAGTAAAAAAGTAACACCCCATGTACAGGCTTTATGGTGTTTTGGAACATTACAGGGTTAAATAAAGTGCTTGCAAATTGTTTTTCATATATATATATATATATATACAGTAGAATGAAATTACTTATATATATAAAAAGAAAACGTAATTTTTTTGGGGGGGGATTTATTTATTATTTTTATTTATTTTATATATATATATATATATATATATATACAGTAGAATGAAATTACTTATATATATATAAAAAGAAAACGTAAATTTTTTTTGGGGGGGATTTATTTATTATTTTTATTTATTATATATATATTATATATATGTATGTATGTATATGTGTGTGTATATATATATATATATATATACATATATATAATATATATATACCTACACTTAAATATATATATTTGGCAGTAAAATATATTTATAAGTTTTATGCACTGGGGGGACTGCCTGACAGGCCAGACAGTCCCCCTGCAGCCACCTCCATTGCCTGCTATAGCGGCCATGAGATCAGTTGATCACATGGTCCACAGGGGCCTCTGAGGCATCGGATGGTAAGTTTTAATCGCGGGAGGGGCCACTGAACCTGCAGCGTTAAAGCTTGGCTTTTGCAAGACGGCATAGAACACGTTGGTGAATTATATAAAACTGCATATGAATGTCTCTTGGCCCCACCATCTATGTAAGTGGAGTTCTATGACTACCTTATCTCATGCTATACTATGTGTAGTATGGATACCTGTACTATTACTTGACATTCTTAAGGGACACTATAATAGCTAAAACAACTGTAGCTTAATGAAGCAGTTTTAGTGTGTAGATAATGCCCCTGCAGTCTCACTGCTCAATTCCCTGCCATTTGAGAGTTAAATCACTTTGTTTATGTAGCCCTAGTCAAATCCCCATACATCATTAGGTTTCATTAACTGTAGTAAACTTTTACAAAATATAAAATCTGTGCTTTTAGCATCCAAACCTTATACAAAGAATCGATAGAGGATGTGTACAAAGCAACGGTTTTAATCACAATAGGGACCAAATGTATCCAGCAGGACTCGCAAATTATTGTTCACTTAGTTTTTGCAAATTAATGATACTTTTAAATATTATTTGGGCCAATGGGCTACTAATTAAAAAATGCTCAGCAACGTGAAGGTTTTTAACCTTCTTTATGTCCTTACCTGTCATGTCATGGGTGGGGCACATTTCCAAAACAGTGAACAGCCAACTGCTGTAAAATACAGTGCCTTACAAAAGATTTTTTTTTTTATTGTGAAGCAAACAACAAATAGGACAAAATAACAGAAAAAGTCAATGTGCATAGCTATTCACCCCCCTAAAGTCAATACTTTGTAGAGCCACCTTTTGCGGCAATCACAGCTCTACTTGCTTTGTATATGTCTCTATGAGCTTACCACTGGGATTTTTGCCCATTCCTCCTTGCAAAACTGCTCCAGCTCCTTCAAGTTGGATGATTTGCGCTTGTGAACAGCAATCTTTAAGTCTGACCACAGATTTTCAATTGGATTGAGGTCTGGGCTTTGACTAGACCATTCCAACACATTTACATGTTTCCCCTTAAACCACTCAAGTGTTGCTTTAGCAGTGTGTTTGGGGTCATTGTCCTGCTGGAAGGTGAACCTCCGTCCTAGCCTCAAATCACGCACAGAGTGGTACAGGTTTTGCTCAAGAATATCCCTGTATTTAGCACCATCCATCTTTCCCTCAACTCTGACCAGTTGCTGAAAAACATCCCCACAGCATGATGCTGCCACCACCATGTTTCACTGTGGGGATGATGTTCTTTGGATGATGTGATGTGTTGGGATTGCGCCAGACATAGCGTTTTCTTTAATGGCCGAAAAGTTAAATTTTAGTCTCATCAGACCAGAGCACCTTCCTCCATACATTTTGGGAGTCTCCCACATGTCTTTTCACAAACTCAAAATGGCTATTCTGCCATAAAGCCCAACTCTATGGAACGTACGGCTTATTGTCGTCCTATGTACAGATACTCCAGTCTCTGCTGTGGAACTCTGCAGCTTACCTTAGGCCTCTGTGCTGCCTCTCTGATTAATGCCCTCCTTGCCCGGTCCGTGAGTTTTGGTGGGTGGCCATCTCTCGGCAGGTTTGCTGTTGTGCCATGTTTCTTTCCATTTTGTTATGATAGATTTGGTGGTGCTCCTGGGAATCATCAAAGATTTGGATATTTTTTTTTATAACCTAACCCTGACTTTTACTTTTCAACAACATTGTCCCTTACTTGTTTGGAGAGTTCCTTGGTCTTCATGGCAGTGTTTTTGGTTAGTGGTGCCTCTTGCATAGGTATTGCAGCCTCATGGGCCTTTCAAAAAAGGTGTGTATATGTAACGACAGATCATGTGACAAGTGACAGATCATATGACAGATTGCACATAGGTGGACATCATTTCACTAATTATGTGACTTCTGAAGGTAATTGGTTGCACCAGAGCTTTTTATGGGATTCATAATAAAGGGGGTGAATACATACGCACATGCCAATTTTCAGTTTTCCATTTCTAAAAAATAGTTTTATGTATATATTTTTCTCATTTCACTTCACCAACTTAGACTATTGTGTTCTGATCCATCACATAAAATTCAGATTAGTAAAACATTGAACTTAAGGCTGTAATGTAACAAAATAGGTAAAAAGTCAAGGGGGGTGAATACTTTTGCAAGGCACTATATCCGGTCCCCCAACCTGTCTGCATCGGGTTAGTGCGTATATTAAAATAATTGGTGGTGGACTGATCACTGTCCACCCTTCTGCTCCCACTTATGGACAGTGGTTTACTAAATACAAGAAATATGGGTGAATTCTAATGTCCACACTGCCACCACCTATTGTCACTGGATTATTAAAGAGGGGGGCCTAGTGTCCCTTTCCCTCTCACTCATTGACTGCAGTTGTGGACTATTAATTTAATAATGTCCCAAATAATCCCATGGCAAGATTTAAAGGACCACTCTAGGCACCCAGACCACTTCAGCTTAATGAAGTGGTCTGGGTGCCTGGTCCTTCTAGGGATAACCCATTTTTAACCCTAGAAACTGCTATGTTTATGAATGGGTTAAGCCTTCTCCCAATTCCCCTAGCAGCTGTCTCATTGACAGCCGCTAGAGGCGCTTGCGTGCTTCTCACTGTGATTTTCACAGTGAGAGCACGCCAGCGTCCATAGGAAAGCATTGATAAAGCACGTGTTCGATCAAGCTGAAATCTGGGCTAAATTCAGGATCATTTGGAGCCTCCTTTGCAGAATCCAGACGTTGTTAGATAATATGAACAATGTGTAGGTTTTATAATTCTTAGTGGTCATGTAAAGCACTGGATGGTTTTGCCCCATTCGCCACAGTGCTATTCAGACTTTCATGAATTATCCCAATAGTAGTAGTTCAGTTAATAGGCAGAGAGATGTAAAAGGAAGCAGTATTGTGGAGTGCTCTGCAAGGGAAGATCAGGAATTTTAATTTAATTTTAGACTGGATGAAGTGTAAGCGGAGGGCTGGGCAGCCTCATTAATTATGAGGAAGATTTGGGGAAGAAGAAGGTGAAGGAAAAGAAAATAATAAATCCATTTAAAAAGTTTTTATAGTTCAGGCATAATGGTGACAAGAAGCAATGGCACATGGGCATCTGATAATTTGACATATAAGGGTGGATGATAGGTCAAAAGAAGAGAATGCATATTCATATTATCTGCATATAAGTCATATTGGAAACCAAATTATAAGGTTGCAGGAAGTGTAATATTTGGAAAATTGCTGCCACTATAAGCAACATAATGAAGGATCTAAAGCTATGTCAGAGATGTCAAAACAATCATAACTGTCTCTGAAACCATCTTCACAGAAGGAGTGGCAGCTCAATATAGGATCAAAGAACAGGCTGGACCAGTCAGGAGAGTATGCCTTATCTCATGGAACTGCAGTGTAAATACTGTATAGGCGACACACTATACAGGATGCTAGACTTTTTCTTCATTCTATTGATCTCTTCCACAGTCCTTAAGCTATGAGATCAGCAATAAAAATGTGCATAGGGAAAAAAGTGATGTTTCCCATGTCTTACACGGAAGACATAAAATATCCATAACATTACAGATATATTAGAAAAAGGGACAATTATGCCATTTTATCATTTACAATAGAAATTTGAACTCTTAAGTAAAGACATTTACCCCTATTTAAAATTAAAATTTATTTGAATAACAAAGAATATATATAACATCATTGGGTTGATAATCTGTTACACTCCTCGATATCTCAAAAAAAAAAAAATACTATCTTTCATACAATATTCAAGATACATTTATAGAAGGGAGTAAGCCTTTTCCAATAAATAAATTGGAATCAGTGCTGGGCATTCAATTCCCCATAGAAGATTGGCTTAAAGGAAATAAACACGTATCACAAACCATACATTGTATCTCTATGTTAGAATTACATTATAAACTAATTTAATTTATTAGTGGTACTTATAACCCACAAAACTGAAAAAATGCTCAAGAAACAAATCGGATATCTGTTGGCGATGCCTTTCAGATATGGGAAATTTACATCACATTTGATGGAACTGCCCAGTTCTAGATATAATTGAAATCTCAAATTAAAATTTGCTTACATAAAATGTTTAATATGGATAAGCTTACCCCCTTCATGTTTTTTGGGAATATGTTTTTTTGGAATATGTTTTTTTCAGTTTGTAATAAAAATCTAAAATATTTAACAACTCATATCTTATTTGCTTCCAAAACGGTTATTATAGCCCGTAACTGGAAATCTCCTGAATTAAAATGGAGTTCTACAAATCAAATTTCATATCAATATAGAATGGAACGTAGTTTCTGTAATGAGAAAGATACAGTGGAAGAATTTGAAATCATGTGGCTACCATGGAAGAAATACATAGAATTATAGATTTATACAAAAAACTACTTAGCTATTAATATATAATCAGTTAGCAGTACTTAGCCTTTCTCCTTAGTTTGACACGGTACAATAAAATATACTATTATAAACCGATTTCCATTTCTATTCTTCACAGGGACCCAACATTAGGTATGAATGAGTAGTTTGAATGATTTTTTTTTTAACCATTTAAGTAATTTACTGTAAATGTATTGTCTATTTTTGCTTTTCTTGTTTCCTTTTTATCTTTTCAAAATAATATAAAAATCAACATGTAATTTAAAAAATTTATAGTATAAACCATTAAATGTATCAGCTACCATATCTTTGTGTTATGATATGTATAATTTTTGTAAACTGTATTATGGAATATTTGATACTTATTGTAAAATAAAAAAAATAAACAACAACAACAACAACAACAAAAAAGTGTTTGTTTCATTTAATTATTTTACAGATTTCTGTTTATTTAAAACTTGGAATGATCGATTCTGATGTTCTGAACTTGTCATAAAATTGTGTTTATTTCCATAATTCAAATGCCTGTTATTCCCTATGACAAATGATGGTGGATGTCTCAAAGTACAAAGTACACTTTTAGGCAGTTATCTGCTCTTTACTTAATTTGGAACTTTCAGCTGTTTAGTAGATAACTCTTAACATATCAGTCCAGGTTGTTACATTCCTCATTTGTAGGGTTACCAGATTCACCATGTTTTCCGGGACATATATAATTTTGTCATATTTATGAAAACGCATGAAAAGTATGTATAATACCTATTCTGCAGGATTCTTCATTGCCTAATTACTTAAAGGACCACTATAGTGCCAGGAAAACAAACTTGCGCCGGGCTCCCTCGGCGCTGGGGACTCTCCTCCTCCTTTTGACATCATTGGCTGAATGCTTGTCTATGGACACTGGCGTCTTCTCACTGTGAAAATCACAGTGGGAAGCGCCTCTAGCGGCTGTTAATGAAACAGCCACTAGAGGCTGGATTAAGCCACTAGAGGCTGAAACTGCTATGTTTACAGCACGCAGGGTTAAAACTAGATGGACCTGGCACCCAGACCACTTCATTGAGCTGAAGTGGTCTGGGTGCTTATAGTGGTACTTTAATCTTATACACCTTCTTCTGAATTCTACATGCTAGAGCAGTGGTTCCCAAACTTTTTAGGTTCAAGGCGCCCTTAATATTTCAATAATTTTCCAAGGCACCCCAAGTCAAAACATTTTCTAGGTTGTATATATGTACAGCGCTGCGGCTGTAGGAGTGGCACTGGTAGATTATTTTTAAAAAAAACAGTCCAGGCACAATAACCACTACATTACGTTGTAGTGGTTATGGTACCAGTACTGCCCTCCCAGGGTAAGTAGTCAACTGTTTAAGAACAGTTTGACAACTTCCCTGGGGTCAGGAGCTACTAGAGTTCACTCTCGCGAGATTCGGAGCGTTCTCGTGGTAACCGTGGCAAAGCTCCGAGCTTGTGAGAGAAGAACTCGGCGGAGCTGCAGGTTAGAGCTCCCCCGGGTCCTCGCTCCCTCCCTTCCTGCCGGTTGTCAGCAAAGTGCTAGCGGGCCAGAAAGGAGAGCACAGTTCCCAGTGCTATCATCATAGCACCGGGAAAATAACTCACGGCTCCCTTGTGAGCCCATCGCGGGAGTTTGGGAACCGCTTTGCTGGAGGACAACCCTTTTAATGTGCTGCCCATCAATGTGTATACATGTGTCCCTGAAAATATGGTGGGTCTGGTAACCATACTCAAATGTTTAGCATCTAAATTAATTTGTGTTAGTTAACACTAACCTTATACAAACCCTACCCCTAACCTGAAGCAATGCCTGCCTAACCCTGTGCTTATGCTATCATTAACCATACAGCTACCTTATTTTTACCCCTTACCTTAACCCTACACTATCCCTAAACCTAAAACAGCATTAAGCCTCAAAGTTACCTTATGGTATGGTTACCTTAAAAGTAACCATAACACTGACTCTTAGGGATTTCCTCTGCTGATGTCATATCTGATTTTCCAGTTCACACGTGAGTGCTTTTTACTAGGTGATTGCAGCATGAGAGGGAGATCTCCCTCCCATGCTGCAGCTCCTGCATGCTATCGCTTCCGATCACATAATGATCGGTGCTGGCTAGCTGGTAAAGCCCAGTGCCGATCACAGTTGGCAGGGGAATCTGCAGAGAGATCCTATCAGGGTACTTTCAGAATGACTTAGAATAACCGCTGCTGAGCACAATGGCTGAGCCATGGTGATTTTAAAAGATTTAAAGGGCTGTATGCAATGTTCACTTTGATCGTTGCATACAGCTCATCTGTCACTCTGGGACCATTAAATATGGCACATCTGAAGGAGGAGTGGCCCAGGTATTGATTGATAACTGGTTCTCCCCAATATAAGCAGGTATTTAACCTGCTCACACCAAAATTCCCGGACAATCCAAGTCATCTTAATTGCTTTAAATACTACTATTTGTAGGATGGCATGGACTGGTTTATAGTTAATATTAATAATAGTTGTTTTCAAACAATCCACAATGTGTTAACTATTCCCTGCCAGTAATGCAAGCAAAATGAGAAATTATTATCAACTTAGAACTAGACTTAACTTTTTAATTTTTTTTAAATGATACACTAAGCAGTAAAACAACTTTAGCTTAATGAAGCAGTTTTGGGGTATCGATCATACCTCTGTAGCAAACTGGGGGGGTCAAAACACAGAACCACCTGAAAAGGGGCATGAATAGGCATATCATCCTGGATTGAACACACACTGAGCTAACTGTCAATCATGTAGCCAGTCCCATTAAGGGTAGACCATACACAGAGTACTGTTATAGTGTTCATAGCATAGTGCAAGTATGTCTAGTGATAGACACAGTTGCCTTTTGTCCCCATAAGGAGTATACCAGATAACAAAGACAGGTGGTGGGACAGAATCCAATATAGGGACTACCCTGCAAGATTTGGGACATTTGTCAGTTCTCAACCCTCTACGGTATAGGAGTTTAATAATTTTGCTTATGCAGTCCTAGACACAAAAGTAAATTTTTTAAGCCAATCTAATATTATGCTCAGTTAAGAGATGTTTAAACACATCCATGATTTTGCTGCAGGCTCTACCCGACAACCCAGCATGATTTAAGAATTTCTAAAGTAAACACACTTTCAGTAAAATCAGTTTGAAAATGAAACTTTTTTTTTAATGGAGACTGTAAGTCACAGGATGTGTGGCTAGGGCTACATAAACATAAACAGTTCTTTAAACCCCCTCCCAATGTTAGGGTGTGCTATACAATCATACAAAAGGAGATAAAAGAACATCTAATACGTGTAATTACAATTTTAAATTCAGTGCTAAATGAGCTAAGCGCATTTTAGTAATCTGTTGTAAATGAGCTAAAGTGTTTGATAATTCCCTTTTTACCTTTACTAAGTAAGTTTAGAGGACAGACCAGATTCCCTTTGGATGGAGCAACCCACCCCATCCCAGCCCTACCTACCAGCTTCAAGTGCCCTCTTTTGGAGGTAACCACAGGAAAGCATACGTTTAAGGAGATTTGGGATAGCAATTTCACTTCAATTATAATTTTCATTTGATATAGAGAAGATATATGATATGCATTGTGAGTATATATATGAAAGAACTATCACTTAACCCCTTAAGGACACATGACGTGTGACATGTCATGATTCCTTTTTATTCCAGAAGTTTGGTATATATATATATATATATATATATATATATATATATATTTCTACAATGATCTTACAACAGATTTTTAAAATACACTATTTAATTTGTCTCCCACGTTGGAATTAGTGTATGACCCACTGATATGTGAAGTAGCGGTGGGCTTAACACAACATGGCCATATAATGGAACTAAATCCCTGTATTTGTTTGCTGATAGCCTTATAAAATGTTGCATTTTATTTTTATGTGTCCACTCTTTTTAAATCTGTATTATGTATAAAGTGTGGTCTCTACGGCAGCACCATTTCTGTAAAATGCATGTTCCGGCTGTGTTCCCAATTCCTTTTTGTCTAACTTAAAAAAGGAGTGCATTAATGCTGTTAGGACGGCTCTAAAAATCAGATCCTCCTTGCAGCGTCTATACTTACCCTACTTGCTGGATTCAATTGGAGGGATGGCCAAACAACCGAGGCATCCCCCCTGCAGCCAATCTCGCCGATCCGAGTCATGTGATCATGATGACACCACGATCACATTACTCGGAACGACTTGATTTCTAGACTGCTTGCAGTAGAACTGCCTGGATGACCAACGTATAATTTATAAAATCACTTAACTATGTTAAAATAAGAAATAAATACACATTTATAATATATGCCCCAGAAGAGGGATATATCACCATTTATGGTCTATATCTAAATTGAGAGCCATGGAGGTTTCTGTTGTGGCCTCACTTCCTCTATTGCCCAAAGGGGCTATCCCGGGCTCCTAGCATATGTTTCTGGCTGCGTTCCTGTTGCTGGTGTGGCTGTCATCCCTCGCATTTACATACTTCTCTCACTTTTCTATTACCCACCTGAGGACTGAGGACTAAAGTTACTCACATGTGCTCCTGGGGGCTTATAATTCATTGTTGCATCTCCCAAGTTGCTCACCTGCTGGATTTATAGAGCCTCTACCTCTGGGTTTTGAGAGGTGCCTGGAGAGCAATGTCCCCTTTGCTGTGAGCAAGCCCAGAATGGCCATCGGGTAAACTAGGGAATACTTGGTGAGCCCATATGGCCAAGGACCGAAACCCACCAGGTAGATCAAAGGATTTCCCTAGCCTGCCCATTCAGGGCCAAAGCTCAGTGAGTGCACCCAAAACAAGAAGTCCCTTCATCTCCTCTTATAGGGGACACCCGACACAAGTCTCCAGCAAAGGGCATTGTTCACAGCCAAGAGCTCTTCAGTAGCGTTCTGCACATGAGATTCCCCAGAGGGACAGCAAACTAACACACTCACTGT